CTTTTTTTATTTTTCTCATTTATTAGCATTATTGTTTTTTGTTTTTTCTTTATAAAAACTACTTCCTAATTTAGCTATGAATAATTTAACAATAAAAGATTAATAAAAATATTGGATAATAAACAATTATTTTTTAATAATAACAATATAAATGTAAAAATTAGGTAATAAACTAATAATAAAAGAACTATAATATAAAAACTTAATAATTCCCTGCCTGGACACGGCTACAGATATGGAACATACTATACCACTGCTAGGATTAAAAAAGGCCTCTGCATATGACGTACCTCCCCCCAATATACAACTCACTTCCTGTTGCACGCTATGGTATTTACCACGCCTCCCACAAATCACAAACTACATCATTTTATACAGTATATACGCCACTTCGTACACAGTTATGGGTTTACTTGGCACTTCGCTCCAGTACACATATCGTACTACTTTAATAATATTGCCTTCCCGCGCACGACTCAGAATGTTTCACACACAAAGCCACACACCTGAACAAAGAAGCCCGCAATCCACAGCACCACGATCCTGAAACGACACAACCGAACACACTACAATGCGCTCGCACGCGGGACAAAAAAAGAAACGACAAAACACTGACTCCACCATAGCCAATGCGCCCCCCAAAAAAACAACAGAGAATGAGACAAGTACACACGGGCCGATCCGCGTACAGACAAAGGAAGAAAGATACAACCTTGACTTCTTGTCGGCCATACCCATGCACGAATGGTTCTACTGGACCCCCTCCCTGCCACACCCTCATACTTACCAAAATACACACCCTGAGACGGCGTTCCCCTTAATAGTTACAAAGTTACTCCCTCAATTTAACCACTCACATTAGTAAGAAACCGTGCACACAAACACACCCATACCATCATCTACGTAAAATTATGGCTATCGCAAACCAAGAAGTAGTGATACGGCGCAGTAAGCCCCCCACAACCAGCTGCACCACATACACCCCGCATACCTGGACAGCTCTCCCCGCCAAAATGTATATCTTACCCCCATACCCAACCTACCCCTTCCACGATATACCCACCCTATACTCTTCAGAAATCCATCTTACACCAGCCAAACTCTCACTCTATCCCCCATTCTCTACACACATAATATACAAGAGAGGTGGCTACTTCCATTACCGTTGGCGCTCCCGTGCTCCAGCGCACGAGCTCTCGCCTGCATGTCTACCTCCTGAAACTCATTCGCAACTCAGCTGTCCCTCTGGTAGGCAGCGCTGTCTGCCTAGCTGATTCCTGCTCCCGAGAAATCGGTGAGACGTACGTCTGTACACCGGACGCTCGGCTTACGCTGTCGGCTTCCTAACGTCACGCTTCGCAGTGCACGTAGTGCTATGGCGGCGACTGATCCTCAAGCTGCACCGAGCATGACCTCGCAGGTATGGAATCCTAACCTCCCCCCTTCCCCTTTCTTACCTTGCTTCCCTGACTTCCCAAATTACCCATTCCCCTCCTTCCCCCACACTGCTAACCGGAGCTAACTCTAATCCCTCTGATGAGCTGCTATGGGTGCTATGCAGCGAAAAGCGCGCTTAAGGGCGTGCACCCCCCCTACGGTTGGGACCTATCCCTCTCCTAACACCTAACCTGCTAACACTAATTACTAATACCCCTTGCTCCCTAATAAAACCCTCCCCTCTTTCTCTTCCC